TCATTATTCATTTAATTTTGATACTTAATTCGCGAAGTGTCTTTTACTTTCAATCATTAATTATTCGAAAAATATTGATTCGACATATCCGTTGAGAAAATGTCAACTTTGAATTGAGAGATAAAGGACATCTAGTTGTTTTAAAACATCCTGTATAAATTATGCAATCTGCAATACAATTTGTTTCCTTTGAAGGCAATAACGAACTTAAATATTTTAATTATTTAAGTAGAAAATTGAATATGTATAAATGACTCTATAGTTATATGTACAGGAATAAACAAGTCAATATTTCAATATGGTTTTGTAACAATGTATAGAACAAAAATTATTGGAATGAAAGAAACGTGATGGAAGTGTCTTTAGTAATATTTAATTTTGATATATGTTAAAATTAACTCAATTTACAATCAAGTTAACATTAATAATAAACTAACCACAGTTTTCTTATATTAAATCTATCCTATTATACAAATGATCATTCCAGAAACTTTTTACTGCATCATAAATGAAATTTGTTTTCATTAGAAATTAGATATTATCCCCAACTGTACTTCCGTGATATTCATACTGTATATACGTGTACACACATTTTAAGCAACAAGGTGAGTCACTGGCAGCACTGCTTACGCATTCCCTCGGCATTCATCGTTGGTTTGACTTCAATTTGTTCTACATTCTGTGGCCGGATTGTATCACCTTCAGGTGGATCTCGTATCTGTTTTTGCGATACGATTCTGTATATTTCTGTAAAGACAACAAGTTTTGTTAAAACAATAAAATATGCCACGTGCAATTTTAATTTAATTTAGCATACAATAAATAATCTCCACTTTTATATAAAAACACAACATGTAGTACAACACATGTATCAATAACTGTAAGAAAGTACTGATAAGTGATAACTGTTTTCATGGAAACAGACACCAAAACATATTATATTAGCTATTACAGTTCTAATATGATTTTAATTCCAATATTTAATAATCAATTCAGTAACTGCTAATTTCATATGACATCATTGGATAATGTTCTATAGGAGCAATTGACTCATAGACTTGGCCGACCGAGTTTGATCCTGACCCTCACCCCATATATGTATGCCTCGATTTATAGGATGGATTAAAAAGTCAAAAAGTTTTGAGCGAAAGAATATGAGATGATTGTTTCGGGAATAATAAATTCTAATATATATAACAGTATCGTTGAAGAGATCTATTACCTGTTAATATGTTTTGAAACGCTGTCTCAACGTTAGTAGAATCTAAAGCGGATGTTTCAATGAAAGACAAGCCGTTCCTCTCAGCAAACGCTTTAGCCTCATCAGTTGGAACAGCACGCAGATGCCTTAAGTCCGACTTATTTCCCACTAACATGATCACAATATTCTGATCGGCATGGTCCCGTAATTCTCGTAACCATCTTTCTACATTTTCATACGTCAGGTGTTTCGCAATATCATACACGAGTAGTGCACCAACTGCTCCGCGGTAATATCTAGTAATTAGAAAAAGATTATTGATATGTATGTCATATATCTTTATGGCAAATGTTAACTTTATGTGAAGTAAGTTTCTTTTTAACTCTTTTACTCGCATATATTTTTATAGTCTCTATTCTCTTAATTGTGAATAAATATTCAAATATAATAATAATAATAAGTAACAACCTGCAAAATTCAACTTTCACTATTAAAAAATCAAAGGTTCAATAATATTCTATTATTTAATTTAAAGAACAATCATTTTTTCATTTTTTGGCTTCTCAATATTTTTATTTATATATAAAAGCAATTATTTACAGGACTTAATGATATTACTTGAAATAATTCATGATAAATAAGCTATTATTTTTAAACTTTTTGCTAACAAATATGTGAAACTTACGCAGAGGTAATCGCACGATAGCGCTCTTGTCCAGCTGTATCCCAAATTTGGGCTTTAATGGTTTTACCATCTACTTGTATACTGCGCGTTGCAAATTCGACTCCGATGGTAGACTTCGACTCCAAATTGAATTCATTTCTTGTAAATCGGGATAGGAGATTACTTTTTCCTACTCCAGAATCCCCAATGAGGACAACTGAAAAGACAAAAAGAATCAATTAGACAAATGTTTAGCAACAATTTAATTTTGGGATTGACAGGGTCATTTAACAAATGAGAAATGGAAAAAGATACATTTTATAATAGTTATTGTATTTTTCTATTTCTCTCTCTCTCTCCCTCCTTCTCTCATCTCAGGTACCTAGTATCAGATCACATATCAAACTTGACTGCAACTGCTCCGAGCAGCTGATATATTAAATTCCTATCATTATTATCTAAAGATAATGACAATTAGAAATTTTGAATGTTTTAAATTATCCTCGAACGTGCAACTGAGATAAAATATAAATTTTATATTACAAAACTATTTATATATTATTTTTAAAAAATACCTCAATTGTATTTAATCTCAATCTTGCCCAAGTAGATGTATATATGTGGAAATAGTTAAATCTGTTTCAAAGTCAATATTTATGATATCACCAAAACATTCCCCAAGATCAAATTTCTATCATCATCCAAATATCATAATTAAAATGATCAATTATTGTAGCTGCATTTCGATATTTACTGTCAGCAACTGTCACTACTAAAAATCTATAGTATACGTGATGTAAAATATAGAAAAATATATAGATTTTCAGTACTGACAGTGAATATTGGAATGCAGCCTTTACAATAGGTACCATAAATGTTAAATAGCTATAAAAGTAATGCTTCTTAATGACCACTGCATAAAGCTCTTTATCTATAAAACTGAAAAAGTTGTGTCATGTATCAGTGAATCAGTGCCACATGTCATTATCATGTATAGTATTGTATAGCATACATGAACAACATGTATGCGTACTCTTTGCATAAATCGCTATTCAGACGCAAAACATGGGAAATAAAGCACAGCAAGGATTTCATTGATCCCCCTCATTCTACATCTGCTCTCTTCGATCTTCCCAAAGTAAGAAATATAAACACAGTGTATGTGTATTCGTACACGAGTATATCACGTTTACATATAACTTTCTCATTTGTCTAAAGTCAAATTTATAATAAAAAATTAATCAATTACTTTGACAAAACAATTCAGGAGAAAATTTCGTCACACAACTCTCTCTGACTCCTGTCTTAAAAATTACTTGTATAAAACTGATTCTGTGTACAAATCACACTTATTAAAAAAAAT